CGATGTAACGCCTCGCGGCTGAGTCATATCGATTCATCGACTGTGGACTTTCGATTTAGTGTAAAAGGATTCATGTGATTTTGTTGTACGGTTTCACGTATGGTTTCAAATTGAAGAAAAAATCTAATTTAATAAAGATCAAATTAGATCAGCGCTATAGGTGTGAAAATTGATAGAAAGTGGGAAACACGATGTTACATAGAATGATTCTAAAATTTATCTTTAACGTTCGATAAAACATGAACTTATACGTACACGTCCCTGGTTAGTTTTCATTTCACGACCAGAAAGATGTATTCTAAATATGGTGGCTCAATAATTCTATCGTAAATTACAACATACAATAGACAACGATTGATTTGTTGTTTCTAATTAATACAAAATAGTTTGCAGACTTCACGAACTTTATTTTTAATCTATGAAACGACGCAATTAATGGTGGAGGGAACTTTTTGGAACACACCTTGAAATCAAATTGACGCAATCACACGGTTTGTCACGTATCGAAAATCAAATGTCAAGAAACATTCTGGCAACAACAATGTTGATAAAGAAGGTAATAACACATCATGCTACTCACTACGTTCTGACACGTGCACTAAATCAAGCTCTTCTTCTAGTGGGTATCATAGCAGGTGAGCTAGCTATAAAAGGTAACTATGCGATGTTTCACAGACGAATATACAACGTGTGTACACATTGTGATAACAAAGATTGTACAAATATTACAAACACAATTATAAGCGAACAACAAAGGTAGAAAAAGAGAAAGAAAAAGATTGACACTGATGGCCGAAACACAACACACAACGTTTACTGCCGTCGAAATACTACTGACTGTTGGCGTCGGGTTTCAATCAGGTTATGCAAACCCTACAAATCCCCCACTTTTCTTTTCCTCTTGTATACCTACGCACGTGACTGACCGATGAGTTCCACATTTATGCAAGCTTGTGCACATGTCGCTGTGCAGCGCGTCATACGATTCGTGTGCACATACATGCGCAACTCTTTTATAAAAGTTAATTTGTACTTATATGTAACGAATTTTGTATTTATTCTAGTTATACATTATTAGTCTATACATTATGAGGAAAATAATCATTTTTATTGTATAATCTTTCTTTCTTACTTGAAATTTATTTTACATTAAATAGTGTAGAAAGTACTTATAGTATGTAATACATTCTTTATTTGCATACTTCGAAGTGTTAATGTTATTGCTTTTATATATTCTACAAATATTGTAATTAATTTACAAACATTGTATATGATATAATTATATCTTAGGATATTTGTCTTAACATATTCCAGAAAAATATTTTCGCCGAAATATTTATATTGGAACGTTTAGTAACTTATTTTCTATGTAAAATATTTTATTGAAAGCTGAGATTAATAATTGATAGAAAATTAATTATCATTCGAAAACAATTGAAATTTGTGTGTCGAAGTACTCAAAATCGTATTTGTCTGTAATATCACGTGAAATTCTTTTTGGAAGAACACTCGAAACTGATAATAATTCTAACACTTATGTCATCAAATCATCTTATAAATCTATGCTATTGTTCAGAGCTTTGATATAAAGACTTAATTTGTACAATCAAAAGGTATTGATAAATTGATACAGGGATGAAGAAGTAGATAACACGTGTAAAGAACATATTTTTCATGGTTATAGACGTCACTAGTACTGTCGTATTTCATGCATGATTTTAGCGTTTTACGTACGTAAATTTATGCAGTTGTTTTGTTCCAAAATCGTTTCATCATTAGAAATTTTTCTATGTAGCAGTAGAGATAATTTTGCTTGTCAATATCTTATTATTTTATATGCTCCATCGCCACGATACAGTATACATTTTTCACGAGTAAGTTATGTAGAATAAAGAGGTCAAGTGGATATTTAAAATGATACATCTGCACAATATATAGGAATACACTTTAAGTTTTGTAATTATAGAATGTTAACTTATTACCATCACGTTTATGTGACGTCTATTTACTATAAAGTATGGAACGTGATGAATATTGTTGCAGCAAACGTAATAAACGGTATAATTAACAACTGTAACAAACAAAGTTATTTTTTAATGATATTGTTGTTCATTACTGTTAATTTTTCAATCTAAATTTATCTGTTATTTACAAAATTAACTCAGCTATGTTTTAAATTATTTGATTAGCTTTTCGTAAGGAAGAAAAATTTAAAACTATTATAAATTTTACATTATAAAATCATAATGAAATAGAATTATCTACATTAAAATAACAAGATTATCAACTTCTTAAAACTTATTAGTTACTTTGAATAACCTTGTCACGATTACCGGTTGCGATTACGAAGTAGATGTCAATTTACATCATAGATAATGGATGCTCGAAATTGAGCTCCTATCAATGTATATAATTACTTACCGAGTCAAAAATATCGACTGAAAGTTTTATTGGCTATGTGCGTGCATCAAGTATAAAGAATTTAAAAAAATCTTTAATTTCATAAAAACGTACAATTTTATGCATCTACTTTTACGATGTTGCAAAGTTATATAATTAATAAGAGACACTTTTGAATATTAGATCATGCAAGTTTTGTATTATGATAGATTGATCTAGATGTGTGATGATAAGAAAGCGAGAATCGATATTAAAACATATAACCACTATGCGAACATCGGGTATAGACAAGCTTTCTGTCCCTATGACAATACTGCTTTATCAAATAGCTTTTTATGCATAATTATTATCGACTAGTGCGATGTTAGTTGTATCGAACTTTTATCTATCTAAATGCTAATAACTCTGGCTATACTATCAACTCCTGTATGTTTTTGTTATAAATTTAAAGACTTAATTAAGAGATATAATTTATCGTATTAATAATATTTTGCAAGAAATTACTAAGGACAATAAAACTGCGATGTTAGCGATTTGTATATAATCTTTCAAGTTATATAAAGGGTTGGTAATACTTGTATAGTACATGCAGTTCTTTCGAAGTAGAAAATTTAAATCATACTAATTTTAACAATATTAGATAGTGGTATATATATTCATTAAAGAAATCAAAAAGAATAAAAATCAATTTGATTAGCAAAGATTCCATAAATCTTTTATGCGCATTTTTGTACTTAATCATGATCTCGTAGTTATCTTAGTATAGATTAACTGTTTTGTCTTGAATATCCAAAGCTTTAGCGATATCATATTATCTATGCAAATGATAAAGTGAGAAAAAAGCTCCTTTTACTGGTGAATGTGTCTTTTAATCTAGTTCCTCGATTTGGTAAAAAGACTTCATTGCGATAGAGAAATAGAAGGTTTAATGTCGGCCGACAAATAAGATAATGCTTATCAAGGCCACTGTTAAAAGACATTAGATGGCGAGAAAACAAAGATAATGGGATGATGTCTGGGAGTATGAAATTGTTAATTTCTCATTACAAGTTGATGAAAAATATACAAGGAAACTAAGCGATGCACTTACTTTGGGTTAATGAATCTTGATATATAAATTTGAGTTTTGATATTATATTTTGATACAATCAGATTATTTTGATATATTATAACACAGTTTTTGTTGTCGTTGCTGTTTTATTCATTTGGTAGCTTCAGGTACAGTAGTCGCTACATATTTCATCAGTATAAAAATATTTTCGATCATAATTGTTATAGGAAACTAAGTAATTTCTATAAATCAGAGTTACACTTAAAATTAAGTTCCTGATAAGTAATACGTATTAAATTATACATTACTTTTTTTATTAAATATGTATGAATTAAGAGAGACGAATGATTTTAAATCACAGAACGTTCATCTAGAACAAGAACGAAAAAATGTAACATTCGAAAAACAATTTCGAAATTATTTTTGAACGATTTCTCAAACTCGTTATAATACGTAATTATATAGTCTGTACAAAGAATTTGAGATCCCCTTATTTGTTGCTCGAGTAGAGTCATGTTTCACATAAATGTTTAGCTTATAAGTTGTAGTTTGTCTTTATGATAGTTTATCTTAATCAGTCGTTTCAACTGAAAATTCACGTTTACATGTAATTTATACATGTTTCAGAATATCATACATAATATTTATATATATATACAATCTCTTAATGCATGATGTGTTCTCGTCTTCTCATGAATCTTTTAATGTTTTTTAACATAATATTTACAATTTGTAGTAACAACTTATATTTTATATTTATTCACGTTTATATATTTGTTGAGAGAAATGGTTACATAAGAAGTAACTTTGATTTCTTATTATTTGATTAATTCTTTACATTTGTCATGTTTAGAAAATTATAATATAAGTTACAAACATTTATTTGACAATGACATTGTACAATCAAAAACAATTTTATTTTGCTATTCGTTACTACGAAAAAGTAATATGATATTCATGTCATGTAAATATAAACTTTATTATGTGTAGTCGGTGATAATTCGTTCAATTTCTGAATGTAAATAATTTCTTCGATCACAATAGAAACAATGAAAATATTTGGATAATAATTTATCTCGTAGAATAAAATCAGATTAAGATAACAATTTAAATAAATTTTGTATTCAAACTTAATAAATTCTTCGTAAAATTCCTAGAACGCATTAATATGTATTTGAAATAATTGCATTATTACTTTATCTGCATTTCTTTCTTATCTTTATGTTGCAACAGTGGAACCTACTTCCGGAAATCAAAGAAGAAAACAATTCTGTAATTTTTTGTAAAATATTTCTTTTTCAAGTAGTTCATGCACTGTTGCAATCAGCTGAAACTCAATAGCTCATATATAAATCACCAGATGACCTTATCTATTTACTGCATTTCATTATCATTGTTTATTCATTGTCTTTCCCGTTAAAAGAAGAGTTCATCTTTTGATGCTTTACATCCGCTGTATATATAACGTATATATGTATATATGCTTTTCGATGTTAAAACACAATTTCTAAATCCACTAGTTGCAACGACATTGTATTCAACATGTGTATCACAATTCAGTCGTAGCTACTCCCCAATATTGTTGCATTCTTGTCGCATCTTGCTCCAAGGAGTCTAATCCGTTCCTTTCTTGAATAACGGCGAAATCGTACTCGAGATTATACGGCATCAGTCTCTGCAGGCTACCAAAGTAAGCCGCGTTCGGACCTCCGTTCAGTAATCGTCTTCCGCTACCGAATCGTACGATGGGTGGCCTCGGTAGAGAAGGATTAAAGGATCTGGCACTTCCAAACCTCTTCGACAGAAAAGGCAAATTGCTGCCTAATTGAGGTGTGGATCTCGATTGACCTCGTCGTAAAGGGGTCCTCGTTAAAGTATCTAATTCCTTGTCGAACAAGAGCTGAGTATTTTGTTCCAGCATGTATTCCCAACAACGGAACTGTTCCTCGCTAAGGGCTCCAGATCTTTCGGATACAGTGTCTTCTTGTGCAGTCAAACAAGTTGAAACCTTTAAATTTGATACAATATTTCATTTACACATGTAATAAATGTTATAATTATAGAAGTTTTGCTTAAACGCATTGTTTTTTTTTAAGTTAATTATAATTTATCATTTTTCCTGTATTATGCATTGAAGATATCGCTTGCATTGCAAATCAGAGGTGAAGAAAGACAAATTGATAAGAAATAAACATTTATTTACCTTTCTTGTGCCACTTTCGTTCACGAAAACACTTTGTCGAGCTTTGTTCGTGGCTCTGGAAGCAGCACTTCCAGGCCAGACTCTACCGGAAGGATGTCTCGATTTGAAAGTACTATCGCTAGCTTGATCAGACTGACCACTTGGCGAACTTCTATCATCTTTGTATGGCGGACTTTCATTCTCCTGCGTCGATCGACGGTTCTTAAAATACCTACCAGATCCGTTGTGAGCTTTGTTTGACCTACACCATTTAAAATCGTTCAATGTTTCCACCCATATCTACATATTTTCCTGCTAAAAAATTATCCCCACCCTAAATCCAACTGCTCTGTAGTTACTAAACCACACGTAATTCCACAAAACACTTTCTAGAACTTTATTACGTAATTTCGTACGAACTTCTCACCTATTCACTATGCTTTTCAACACGCCGTTCAAATAATAGCCTTCGTTCGCATGACAACAGCAAGGTCCCGGTGGTTTATGAGCAGCCGGTGGCACGCAACAAGGGCAAGGACATCCTGCCTCGGTTTGACCTCTATTCTTGCCGACTGCATGTCTCAGTTCCCTCATCAATTGATCCAGATCGCCTTGATTAGGTCCTGTTAATCGCACTACTACGATACTCAAATTATCTTCTGCACCATAAGCTTGCGCTAGATCTTGAAGCCTTTTGGCAGCTAAAACAGGACTAGCCTCTGCCCTGGCTTCTCGAACAGCTTCCTGAATGCTCAACACCTCCCATAATCTTCTGTTGCCGATTATCACAAATTCGTCATCATCCTCTAAGTCTACTTCCTCGAACGTTGGATCAGGAACCACCAGAGGAAACATGGCAGCATTGCCTAATTGATTTTTCACAGGAACTTTCTTAGGTGGTGCCAAAGTTAAAGGGCCAGCTGCTCTGCAAAGAACTGCCTTTGCATCTCCCGAGGTAGCTACTTTCAAAGAATATTTCGTCGCTGCTTTTGGATATCCTTGTTGCGATTGAATTCTAACAATGTGCACCAAAGTCGCGTCAATCCCGTATTTTTGCCCTTTTTCCTTTAACTCCCTATGGGCGGACAGTAACGTGTACTTTAAGTATTCTTTCGACGTTTCCCGAACGGTTCTCTCTTCCAGTAAAAGACGTGGGATCATTTCCTGGAGAGCGCTCGGCGCTTCCTGATTTGAACCGCCATCGAATATACCGAACAGGCCTTCCACATTGCAGAACGACGGCATCCGAACTTGCGATACGTACAATCTGTGCATACGAATTACAAAGAAGTAAACTAGTTGAAATACTGATCGTATTTTAATATAGAAATAAAAGGGATAAAAAGACAGTCTTTATAATTCCAATCAATATATACATCATTCAATTTTTATTAACTATCAGATAATGATTGACATGTAATATTGACTATCTAATGGTAGATACGAATTAATAAGAACAAGTAATGAATATTGTTTTACCTTTCTCTAGATCCTGCAGTTTCTGAGAATCCTAGTCTCCATGGTTGTTCCGAACCTTTTTCTGCGGACACGATTTCTTGTTGATGAGGGTGAGAAGGTAGACTTGGTCTATTTTGACCTGACACATCAACTAGTGATATTGGTCGCTGAGATCTGTATACTTGAAATTGTCTAGGGTCTACGTGGAGTCTTGAATTGCAGGATATATCGAGAAATTGAAGCTGTGGTGGCACTAGGGTAGCCAAGTTTACTCTGTCTAATTGGTTATGGGCTAAATCCAATACCTGCACGAAAAAGAGTAATTTAATTGGTGTGAAATGTTTTCTATTATATATTCTAATTAGAACATTTAATCTTGAAGATTTCTATACTATTAGAATTACCTTTAACGACGTTGTTTTATTAAATGTTGGGCAAGTTAAAAGCCGATTGGAATGGACACGCAACACGCGTAAATGCCGCAAATTGGCTACATTGTCTGGTAGATACTGAAGACGATTTCCAGATAATACTAATTCTTCTAAATCTCTCCATGATGCTATACAACTGTAAATCGACGATCTTTAAATGTCCAATTTTAAGGCAAAACATTAAACTAGTAATTATAGGTTTGCAAACTGCACCTTTCTGGCAGTGTGTCCAATGTGTTGTATGCGATATGAAGAACCCTTAAAGAGGATAATCTTGAAAGAGTATCTAAAGCAGTGTCTGTTAAACAGTTTGCAGTAAGATATAGTTTTTCCAAGTTGTGATTGCTGTGCCGAGTTTTGTTTGCTTCTCCTAAGTGTGGGAGCTCTGATAGTCGGTTATTGGACAGATTCAGCACTTTCATTCTACAGAAAAATATTTGTTAGTACACTCTATATTTATATTTTCAATTCACAATTGAATTAATTATTTGTTATTTTAATGAAAATATAAATTTTAAGATAGCTAATTTTATTAATCTAGATTTTGCTAATCTACTTTATTAAAAAAAAAATGTTTCCTTAGCAAGTATAAGATTATCCTGTGTATACCATGTTATAATATTCTCAGCAAATGAAATTATTCGCATACTTTTCTGTGTTGATGAAGAAACTCGTTGGTAATGCTGTCAGTGCATTGTCTTGCAGCGTCAAGTGAACGATGTTTAGTGGTTTTCGGGGTGGTGGAAGAGCTTGCAGTCTATTGTGGGGTAAGTGAAGGACTTCCAGTCTCGATGGCTGCGTTAGTAGTCTGTCTGGGAGGGCTGTTAAAGCATTGTGAGATGCAAAAAGTGCGCGCAACAAGGGCAGATCCGGTATCCATTCTGGCAATGCATCTAAATTATTGCTAAAATAAATTTATATAAAAATATGATGTAAAATTATTGTGCAGGATACTTTATATACATACATTCGAATACACCTCTCTTACTTTCGCTGACACTACTTTCATGAGAAAACAATCTCACAACAGTGCCATTAAAAGTAATCAAAATATTTGAGAAGATTAACATAAGATTTAAATATATTCCTTACCAAATATTGTTCAGAGAAATAATATAATAATTAAACACAATGTAAGTCTATTGTCAAAATTATATAATTTTATTAAAAATTCAATTTTATAGTCCCAATTGCAAAATCCTATTATTTTTATTTTTTAATTTTTACTTACTAAGAAACATCCAGATGTTCAAGATTCACAGGCACGGGCTCAATAGTTAACTTTTTCAATTCTGCAAGATAATAAATGGTTTTACAAAATAAAAATTATCTTCAGGGTTCGTTAGTTATATATAAATAAAATAAAGAGGTCTTACTGTTGTTTCCAGCAATAAGAGAAACAATATTTCTCCCGCAGACTGTCAGTTCTGTTAAAATATTTCGCGCGCAACGAACGCTTCTCAATTCTTGAAGAGCACTGATGTCCAATTTCTCAATGCTATTTTCACTGACGTCTAGATGCGTTAAATTCTTGATTAAAGAAGAAATAGAAATGGTAACGATCATTAGTCACTATTCCCATATACGTATACAGTATGTATATCGTAATTATACATTTATTATTGCAAGAAAACTTACTCCATAGTTTCCAAGTATGATGTTTCCCTTCAATTGATTATTTCGCAGGTTGACCTTATACAAATTATTCGGATTATTCTTCTCATCCTTGCAACTTTTGTTATGCTCAGTCTTTGACAAAACGTCCTAAAAATATATAAAAAATCGAATTTAATGAATTGTAGTATAAAATATAAATAAAATTTGTTAATATTTTTTAAACGTTTTCAATATATTTATAAGTTTGATAAATATATTATAATTTTATATGATTGTAAAATATGTATATGTATATCTAGTTTTGAATATGTAGTAGTACGACATTTGGCCGCTAGATGGCCACTCGCTCGATCGTGTTACTCGAAAGTAAAACATGACTCGAGATGCACATAAAGGTGTCTGAAAATATATATCATTACTCTGGTTTCCCTTCAAATCACGCATAAATCTTTCGCCTTTTACTAAAGATTTCCGTGGAGGGGAACAATTGATGAGTCTATAGACTAATTTTTTGTGCACCCGGCGTAAGCTGGGTCATATGTGTATCAAAACATAATTATTACTTAAATTGACAAAATTGCGGTAACTTTTCTGTACGATACGAATGTACAAAGAAAGTTATTATGAATTCAATACACTAGGACAATACAATAGGAATGGTTTACACATGAATTTTTAAATTAAATAGTATTTCCTCGTACAAATTAAAAAGGTACTTAAAACTTACATTTACTCAGACATGAGGGTGTGTACCGGTTTTTCCTGTTAATTATCTTTATTTGTACTGTATGTTTAAATCGACCATCACGTGTCTCAATGATTGCTCAAATAGATAAGATTTGTTCGTCGATTCGATATCAAAATCAATTGAGAACACTTGTTATTTTCAGGTCGATAATTTCAAAGAGGCTTGTGTTATCATACACTTTACACTGTTCCCTGTTAAGTGTTAATACAGATATTCTTCAGCAAATACATGTTTTTTGTAGTTAGTAAAATATTAATTCTATAGAAATAGAATTCTTTTATTTCTAGCCTCCAAATTCTTCTTAAACTTTTGTATAAATTTTTCAGACGAACTACATTTTTCACACGCATTATTTGCTCTTATTTTCCGACAGTCAATTAATCGGAATAATTGCTCAATTCGTTAGGCTAGAATTACACACATCTGTTGCAACGTAACTTGCCTCATCATTCCGCCGTTACTCATCGTAACGGCGCTTGCGCGCGAATTTTGAATTACAAAACGCTTTAATAATTTCGAGAATCATATTCGACATACCGTTAGCGTGAGAGCACGCATGTTGAAGAAAGATGGTAAACTGCTGAGGCAATTTCCAGCTAAGGAAATGTTTCTCAAGTTCTTCAGCTGCACGAGCTCGTGCGGCAGCTCTTTGATCCCATTACGATCCAAGATCAGTTCTTTGAGGCTACAAACAAACGTTTCCAATTATTATGTCTGTTACAAATAAGATGGTGTTTCATAATAAAATAGTAGTTTTATTATTACTAGCAGTAGTAATTATGGTAAATTTACACTAACTTTTTTGTTACTAAATAGGATTTTAATTAAATTTTTAATATTTAGTAAAATCAAACTGAATAAAGATATATTACTTTCTACTATAATTAAAATTTGTTATTGCTACCTATTATTGCTATTTATTATATTTTTTAATATTATATATCTTCTTCCTCTCATTATTGTGATTATTTTGGTTCATTATTATTTAAAATATTTCTATCTTTGTTTAAATAATTTCGATAAAGTAAGCTAGATTTTCTGGTGATTTACATAGCAAAAATTTCAACAAAAGTTTTACGAAATAAAAATTTCGAAATTAATAGTCTCCATTTCTTCGATGCATAAATAATCACCTACGAGTGACGTTGCAATATATCTACATATTAAACAATATCATGTTATTCTATAAATATGATAAACGTGGAATTCAAAATCAAAATTTTATTTCTTTCAAAACAGGCAAATTCATCCGTCAATAAAGGTCATGCTTCTTCATTACTTGCTTCTATTGACATTTTGTGCGACAGGTCTTGTTTCCAGACTGATCGAAGAGAATCAAGACAAATTAATGCCACAGTTATAGCGATTCGATGTCAATGCACGTTGCACCCTCACTGCACGGACAAACGAATCGGTGAACCTAAACGAACGGGACGCCCACAGGATGTGCACTTGAGTAGAAAGTTTCAAATTATGGTGAAAACCTTCCTGGCTGTAAGCATCTGTGTCATCGGATAGACTTTCAGTTTTTAAAGTAAAATCGAAATCGTTGCCGCGGTTAGGCTGGAAACTTGATTGTAATTTAATTAATTTGCAGGAATTTCGATATATATCGAAAATCGCATACTTTGTAATTTTTGTTGCATATTGAGAATGTATGTATGAAAATTTTACTGTAGATAAATATTTCTTCTTTTTGGTTATCATTTTGGGAATTGTCGAATTTATTGTAGCGAAAAGGAATTTTCAAACTCATTCAAAATAAAAAGGTTTATTCGGAGTTCTTAATTTTTTTGGCCAAGTAGACTTTTGCATTGTTAAAAATGTAAAAATTATTTAATACTACACAAATAATGCTATTTCCCCATTATCGATATTTCAAAGCATAATTAATTTTATAAAATAATTTGAATTGGTATTATTAAAAATTATTATTTGTCATTAAAAATTTTTCTTCTTAACATTATATTCATATTATTGTGAAATATTCTTTAAAGAAATGATTTCCTTGCTAAACTATTTTGAATTTTGTGTACTATTTTGCTTCGTCCCTTAACCGCATCGAGTCGCCACTTTCCATCCCTTTTGTATCCTCTAATTCATTTCTCAAGCACACACTTATTTCCGGAGTATGCGGCTACTTCTCACCTGCTTCGTCATTCCTTATTCTTCGCTTGATGTTTAAAAAGCGTGGACGTCTCTAAAGATCTGGAGCATCTTTTTGAGTATTCCGTAATGGATAACTAAAACATGGTATTCTTCTGAAAATTTCCTTAATGTTTCTTTTATCCTTTATTATGTATTATAATATTCACGGCTTGCCTATCATTATCTTCTTTTGTCCACCTCGGAATGGAAATCATTCACTTTATAGGGGTTAGGTTTGAAGAACGAGTTAATGTGATATTTTTTAAGAATTCATCAGGCGTGTGTAAGTAACATAAGATTATATTTTATTAAGTTAAAATAGGAAATGATAATTAAGGTATTATATGGTTACTGTTTCTTAGTTGCTAGTCGTGAGGTTTCCTTTTTAATTTTAGTACTAAGCAGTTAAATTTGTTAAGTTAGTTTTAAGTAGTAAAAAAATAATTATTCTTATCAATTTGGTGAATTATACAAGTTTATAATGAACATTATTATTAATGAAAAATAAAATCTATTATGATATTCTTGTATCATAAGTAAATTCAATGAGTTAGGTTATATTAGATTTTTTAAAAATATTTGTTAATAGTAATAGTTGTTCATTAAGTACTCACAGATTATATAGTAATTGTGTATTAACTTTTTATAATTTTCTAATAAACAAGCTTCTTCCGTGTCACTGTTATTTCACTTATTTAATTTCTTCTTTAACCATTACTGTTATTTAAAAATTTAATAAATTATGTTAAACTACCTGTACACTTTAACAGACCAATTTTTTGGAATGTAGAATCCGTACAGTTTTTCAAAGCTCATTAAACATTATTATGTAATTCAATTTTATATGGTGTTACATGTAACTAATCATATTCAATTACATGTACATTCAGGCATAGTACATCCAAATGTGGTTCACCTTGTACTATAAAACACAGTTCAATCACATCAGTAGAGTAAGCAGTTTAATCCTTCAATGGTTTTCTGAGCATTTTCATTATTCACACTTCATTAATCACACTAATCTGAACACTACAATATGCCTATTGTATTCTAAGTCACTATAGTAAAAGTCATACTAAATTCAGTATTTCAAGTCCATTAAGTTCTTTAATTGAATTCGGTTTAGTCCATTCTGTGTTTTTTCAAGCAATGAAGGAAACTATTATTCCTTACTCATGCCAAAGAGACATAATAATACATATCAGGATCCTTCAGCCATAACATTGTTGAGTTCATTTAATGACTGTTAATCAGTTTATAAATCACCAAGTCAGTTTCTCTACAGTTGTACCAAATAACATTTACACTTCACTAATTCCTTCAGGAGAATTTCTTAATTATAAGTAGTAAATAGTCTATTCAATCTAGTTTCACTCTTGCAAAATTCTGTGCCAGTTCTATTAAATAGTATCCTAGCTTTCTTATATTGAAATAAAAGTCTTTCATATTAATATCTTTTTTAGTTCCAAGTTCCCCTATGCCATTTTCTTCAATACGGTCACTTTCTCACAGCATAAACATTCCATAAGCATAAACATTCCAAAATCCCCAATATTAATTGCAAGATTCATCAATACTAATATCAAATAATCCATTCAATATTTCTACTCAATTAACACAATTATGATGCCATTTTCTGTACTCTCACAGGCAATGTCCCAAATACTTTAGAGTTCTCAGTACCAATAGTATCTTTCAACATCTATAGCAGGTACCATCTTCCTCAATTTACAATACAACTATACAATTTCCTCCAGATTCAGAAAACGTTCTTCTTCAATAGCACCAGCATTTGCCAACATTGAAATGAAATTCTTTGGCAGTATTCTATCAGACAAGTTATTCCATATTCTTCCAACCAAACTACCACATCACTTCCTCCAGCGTGGTACCAGTCTTCTCAAGAGTGTTTCGAACATCCGTTTTACACCCGAGCGCCCTTCTGCTAAATAGTTGAGGAGTTTCTTCCACGGAGTCTCGGTAAACGTCACTCCACAAGCCGTCAGTAGTTCAGGATAGACAGGTTTGCAAAGTTACGAGTTGGTGTATGCCCGTGCGAGTTCTTCAGGGTACTAAGAAGTCCGTGGCGACTCGAAGCGTATCCAAGCTACTCCTGTGCCGAGGAAGAAAGAGGGAGAAGACCAAGGATGGCTTGGCTGACCACTGTGACGTAACAGAAAGGAGAGATTAGCTCCTGCTAGTGGTGCAAACTGGCTTATGCTGATTCCTGGTGTCCTGGAGCGTCTGTGTACCAGTAACCGACGACTGTACGCTGGTTAACGGGGTTGCAAGGAAGTTCACACGTCGTCGACCTGATTACGTTAAACGGAAGTTGGGTACTTCTTTAAAAACTTCGACTTGTTGGTCGTATCACGAAAACATCTGGCTTTAAGGATCGCATATGGTCACGAGGAGTTATTAGCTTGAACAATTGTCATCAAGAAGTGAGATGGTGTAACGCAGGGGAAGATTTCTTAAGGGAAGATTTCTTATCTATCCTCTTTTCAGATTCTTTTAAGTGGTAGAATAATTGTATTTATTTCATTCTTTAAACAATTTTTGTTATCTCATTTAATTTATAAACTTCCATATCTTTTTATCAAACAGTTCAAGAAGAAGAGGAAAGGAAGAGAAGTAGATATCAACAGGTACTTCAACACACATTTTCTCATGTACTGAGAATATCAACATTACTCCTTGGTGAATGTAATATGATTAATATTATATATTTTATTGCAATATAATATAACATTATATAATTTAATACTTAAGTACACGTTACAGGTCGACAGTTCCAGTGTCAACAGTTGTTTGCAGCACGATTCTTCAGTTTCCTCGTCCACACTTGCCTATGCACAGTTCTAACCAACAAGGGATGTGCGCTCTTTCTGATCGCAGTGGCTGATCGGGAAGTAATTGCACGGTTCCACTGTTTGGCCGCTTGCATTGTTCCACGAGTGTGGCATCGTTCACGGAAAAGGAATTCAGTGATAAGGAGCTTTTAAATTGCGCTTCTCGCGAAGGGTTCTCATTCTCCCGGAGTTGGGAAACTTCAAGCCGTTACGTAGATTCTTCTTTAAGATCTTCTCGTTGCTACGGCCTCCGAGAGACCGCGTTGAATATTTTATACGGCTCTTCCGTCCCTTCGGGGAGACCCGTCGTTGTTGGTCCTTTTGGTCATCTTTTTTTCCTTCTTTTGGCTTTTCTTTTCTGTCTTTTTCTTTTTTTTTCGAGGATATCATATGTAATCGCGTGTTCCTTACGAGCTTCCGCTTTTGGGCCGCCATGGCAACGCGGAGGGCTACTGATGGTAATTCTGATAAATTAAGGGGTTGCGATAGCGTTGCTTACTTATTCGTTTTATCTGTTGGAAAATGGGAATTCTGTTTTGGTAATTTTCATACAGCAAAGAGTTGTATAGTGGCTTTTTATATGTTAATTTTGGTTCTTGGAAATACGAATTTTATTCTGGACCTCCATGGCAACATGGAGGGATATCGACAACAATCCTGGTAAATTAAGGATTTAAAAATTTAA